ATTTTTATATTATAGTTCAATGCAGAAATCCCAAAACATCCTTTTAAAAAATATGTACAACCAAAGTGTGTGTTTTTAATGACAGAAGAGATTGCTACATGCAATTCAGAAGTAAAGTGATAAGGGAGAACTAAATATATTTTCTGCTCTTGGAGAATCTGCTTGACCTTTTGAATTTGGCATTCAATTTGGCTGTATGTTGCTTTTAAAGTTTTAGAAGAGTTCCTTTATTTTAACTGATTATGAATACTTTGAGTTCAGCCCTGGCCACATGGCTCAGTTAGTTGGAATGTTGTCCCCTATACCAAAAGGTTGCATGTTTAATTCCTGGTCAGGGCACATACCTAGGTTTCAGGTTCCATCCCTGGTTGGGACACATACAGGAGTCAGCTGATTGATCTCTCTCTCTCTCTTCCTTCCTCCCTCCCTCCTTCTCTCCCTCTCTCTAAAATTACTAAAACAACAACATATCCTCGAATGAGGATTAAAAAAAAAGAATACTTTGAATTTAGTTTAACATGAATATAAAAGATATACCTATCTTTTAATTAAATAGCCAACCTGGAGTGTGCTCCCAGGGGCAGTTGAGTAATTATCTTGTTACTTAATCCAGAGCGCATACAGTAAGATAACGAAGAGATCTTAAAGTGTGGGAAATAAAGCAATCCTCCAGATACATTTATTTTTAAATTTATTAAATTTTCTGAATTTCTTACACAGCTGAATGGCTTTAAGAAGAGTGAGCCTTTTGCCCTAGCTGATTTGGCTTGGTAGATAGAATGTCAGCCTTCGGACTGAAGGGTCCCATGTTCGATTCCAGTGCAGGAGATAGCTAATCAATGATTTTCTCTCATCATTGATGTTTCTATCTCTCTCTCCCTCTCCTTCCTCTCTGAAATCAATACAAATATCTTTAAAAAAGAAGAAGAGTGAGACTTTTATAACTGACCCAACTAGTTAAAATTACATATAATTTTGTATAACCATTTAATTCTTGGATTTGTTGGGGGAGGGGTGGGGAAGAAGCAATTTACCATAAACTGAGTTGCAAGTCTTTAAAGATAAAAAGCAGGATGCTTGATACCTATTTTCTGTCACCAAGTATGTTAGGCACCAAGGGGAAAGGAGAAATGAATCCTTTACTCCTGAGGAAGCTACCATATTAGTTAAGGGGCCAAAATTAATGCTTATACATGAAGCATTTTATTATAGTTCATTGTGACATAGTATAATCACGTATTATGTGTTTGATGCAAACTTTGAAGTTGGAGGATCAATTTGTGATAAGACAGTGAATCACAAACTTACTTTTTAGGTTCTGAAGACTTTAAATGAAGTCTTATGTGAACATCAGTGTAAAAAAGGAATAAAAGCAACCCTGGCTGGTGTCAGTGGTTAGAGTGTTGGCCTAAGCACAGAAGGGTCTTGGGTTCAATTTCTGGCCAAAGGCACATACCTGGGTTGCAGGTTTGATCCCCAGCCCTGGTTAGGGGGATGTGGGAGGCAATCAATTGACGTGAGATCTCTCTCACATTGATGTTTCTCTCTCTCTCTCTCTCTCCCTCCCCCCCCCTTCCTTTCCACTCTCTCTAAAAATCAATGGAAAAAATATCCTCTAAAGATCAGTGGGAAAATGTGAGGATTAACAAAAAAACAAACCAAAAAAGAATAAAAGCAA